TGTGAGGTTATTATTATTATTATTATTATTATTATGGTCGGTGTTTCTTGTGAGAACTCAGGTCTAGCCTGGTTAACTAATCGCACGGATTAAAATCAAGTAACGATTAGTGTCTGTGTCTGTGTCTGGTGAAGTTATGTAGGGTTCTAAAGAAAAATAAAAAAATAAAAAATAAAATAAATATTCACACACTCACATTGGAAATCTAGAGATAGTATGTAATTCATACTTACCAACATAGCTATTAATGGCCCCAATAGTCAACGCTATCAGGAAAGAAGAAAACAAAACAAAAATATCATTATAATAATTCCTGTAATTTTATTAAATAGAGTTTATTGTGTAAGTGTTTCTTTGGCATTGCGTTTGGGTTGAATACGAGTGGGTTGTGATAACGTGGTGTGTTTATGTGAAGAAGGAGTTTTGTGTTTTTTAATTGTATTTATGGTGTTTCTTTGTTCCTGAGGTCGTATTTGTGAGGTTGTTTGGGTTTTTGGTGGAGATATTGTAGTATTTTGTGAGCCTGTGGTGCTGTTAAGGTTTTTGCGCTTCGGTTGTATACGAGTGGGTTGTGACAATGTGGTGTGTTTCTGTGAAGAAAGAGTTATGTGTTTTTTAAGTGTGCTAGGGCGTGTAACTTTATTGGGTGGACCTGTCTTTGTAGTGCAAGTTGCGTTACTTGTATTTGTGGTGTTTCTCGTTGTATTTGTGTGGTTGCTTGGATTTTTGGTGGAGATATTACAGTATGTTGTGAGCGTGTAGTTCTGTTAAGGTTTTCGCGTTTCGGTTGAATACGAGTGGGTTGTGATACCGTGGTGTGTTTATGTGAAGAAGGAGTTTTGTGTTTTTTAACTGTGCTAGGACGTGTAACTTTATTGGGTGGACCTGTCTTTGTAGTGCAAGTTGCGTTACTTGTATTTATGGTGTTTCTTTGTTCTAGAGGTTGTGTTTGTGTTGTTGCTCGCATTATTGGTGGAGACATTACGGTATTTTGTGAGCCTCTAGTGCTGTTAAGGTTGCTGCGTTTGCGTTGAGTACGAGTGGGTTGTGATAACGAGGTGTGTTTCTGAGAGGAAAGAGTATTGTGTTTTTTAGCTGTGCTAGGCCGTGTAACTATATTGGGCGAGGGCGTCTTTGTAGTGCATGTTGCGTTACTTGTATTTATTGCGTTTGTTTGTTCAGGAAGTTGTGTTTGTGTGGTTGGTTGAGTTAAGGGTGGAGATATTACAGTATGTTGTGTGTCATGTTGTGAGTCTAAAGTGCTGTTTAGGCTTTTGCGTTTGGGTTGAATACTAATGGGTTGTGATAATGTGGTTTGCTTCAGAGGTGAATCTCTGAATGTAGTATATGTTGTATCATTTGTTGTACTTGTTTGTTCGGTAAGTTGTATTTGTGTGTTTGTCTGGGTTAGAGGTGGAGATATTACAGTATGTTGTGTACCGTGTTGTGAGGGAGTGCTGTTGTTTACATGTATACGTTGTGGATCATTTCTGTATGTAGTATCTTGTGTTATGTTTAGAAATTTACGAACAATATGGCATGTGTTGATAATGACTGCTTTTTGTAAATGTTTGTATGTGTTTTTGTCTAAACCTAATAGTTGTAAATTGTGGTGTATTGTCTTTGGTATAACTCCGGTAGCACTAAGAATAATGGGAACTATAACAGTAGATTTCATTCTCCATTGCGTCTTAAGCTCGATAGCTATATCGGTGTATTTGCGGTGTTTTTCTGCATGTGTTTTAGTTAAGTTGTTAGTGTTGGGTATGGCAATGTCTATAATACAAATGGATTTTTGCGTTTTATCTATAAGTGTAATGTCTGGTCTATTATTGTGGATAGTTTTGTCTGTGAGTAGTGTCCTGTCCCAATATAATTTGTGTGTGTTGTTTTCGAGTATGATCTGTGGCGTGTATTTGTAGTATGGTGTCTTATCTGTTATGAGATTGTGTTTAAGTGCTAATTTTTGATGTATGATTTTAGCTACCTGATCGTGTCGATGTTTGTATTCAGTTTGTGCAAGTCGTGTGCATGCCGATATTATATGTTGGATTGTTTCTGATGTTTGTGAACAGAGTCGACAAGAATCGTTTGTCACTGTTTTGTCTTTATGTATGTGTTTTTTATAGTTGCGTGTATTAATGACCTGGTCTTGTATTGCTAACATGAAACCCTTATTATTATTATTATTATTATTATTATTATTATTATTATTATTATTATTATTATTATTATTATTATTATTATTATTAAAAAGCTCGGAAATTGAAGTCCAAAATAAATTACATTGCAAAAATAACTTTGAAAATGGTAGTTCACCGAATAAAAATAGAAATAGGCTGGGAAAAAAGAACTTACCAATAAAAAAAACCAGCCGTCAAATTAATATTAAATTGTGTTGTAAAATGAATTGTCGGTAATGATGTGAATGCGTAACATAAAATTATAACATCACAAAAAGTAGTAGGTAAACTTGAAGAGGCAACACATAGGTTAAAAACAAGTTTTGGGAATCAAACACACAAAGAATATAAAATGCGGCATACAAAACACAAATACGATATAAAGAAATGCAAAAATTACTACCTGTATTAAATAACACAAAATAACAACAAACATTTATGGAGCGACGCGTTCACGACCGCCATTCAAGACCATATGCCGAACGTAACCCCCGTTCGTTCTTTTCTAGATGCCGCAGGCAGCTTTTCCCCACCTAGAAATTGCATGGTTGCCAACTCTCAAAAATGTGTGCATCGTCGTAAGTTGTATATACAGGGTGGAACCTCTCAGTCCAGATACTAAATTTAAAGGGTAGGCCACCCCCTTTGCACTCCAAAAATCGGGTGACTGAAGATTTCGGCAACGTCAGCGACGATGAATCGTCGTTTTGTTATTTTCTGCACCGGTAGATGGCTTCAGATTCAATTATTGCCATAGATATATAAATACATAGATACAGCCATACCCCAACATAGTTCAAAAGGACGTACCATCTATTACCATCACTTTCGGCACATTAATTACGTATAGCGCTATCCTTTATAGAGGTACCCTGAGCATGGAAGACAAGATTCGCATTATTTATTATAGCTGTCAATCAAATTGTTAGCACAAATCACACAGAAAATTATCAGATTTGAGACTTTACAACATAAATAAACCGCCTTTTTATTTATTTAAATCGCATAGCAGCAAGAAATGTTACATTTAAAATGGAAGATGTTACTTAGAAAGCTGGAAAATGAAGAATTTGAAAAAATTACAGCTGACAAATGGAAGAAAGTGTGTGAACATGTGGAAAGTGATTAATTTAAAAGAGAAGTTATATTGGTTGATGTTTCTGAACTTTATAATAAGTGTTAATCATGACAGTGATGATTCGGATTTGTCAATTTCATCTAACGATGATTCGGATTGTGAACTTTTATAAATGTAATGAATGTTCACTAAATGAGTATTATCACCAATTGGATATCATTGCTAAGATGTTGTATTTATTTTAAATAAATGTACACGTGTAGCTTACTTACTACAATTAGCACTATAATTTCAAAAAGAAACTCCACCGATTGGACATATGCCGAAAGGTAGGCAAGACGCGTAGCGACCAAAATTTGATATTGCACGCACACACAGTCTATAAATCTCGTTTTCCTAAGAATATTGCACGGATCCTTCTTTGTGATCATGATACAAACGCACTGCATCAACATCATATAGGCCAAAATGATAATTGGAAACGAATTCACTTCCTGTCGCAACTTAATCTCCGTAACCATTACGCCTACAACCATGTAATTAAAATTAAATTGTTGAACATAAACTTTACTTACTTACGGTTTTTTTTGATATTCTACAAGCCAGCAATGAATTCACTGCAGCACATCATGCCAAACAAGGTAAACATAGTCCCAAATTTGAATGGCGTAGCTCTATGTAATAAAACTATTTCAGGAATAACAATTATGGACGCGTCTATCATTATGGCAAGCACTAATGTTATTCGTATTCAATTGATAACGCAATAATCACATAATATTTAGTGAAAAAACCGCCCATCATGTTTAGGGCGAATATTTTTAGTTAGATTTGATTTCGCGCAATCGTGAAATGTGTCAACTGTCACATGACTTATGGGACGCGCTAAGTTTGTTTTAAGCGTCCGATTCGCGTACGACATAGTGGTTAATGCAATAAAAAGAGATAGAACATGTTTCTTCTTGGTTAGAAAGTAATGGAGAGATGTACAAATTTCTTTGATATGTTTTTTAAAAACCGAGGTACGTTTGTTAAGGATGGCTGTATCTAGGTATTTATATATCTATGATTATTGCACGTCCAAGATGCAAACATTATATCACATTCACTCACGGATCGGCGGCAGATGGATGTAGCTATTCAGTCCCTTTTTTTTCAAATAAAAATCAGATTTTTTCAAAACATAATTGTTTTCGTTGTGCCTTCGTTCTCATGTGTGTGTTTTTTTTGTCGATTTTGATGGACATCGGCGATACGTTTATGCTAGTATGAGAACATGCCAACTCCTACCAAAACAGTAACTGTTATTAAACGCCCATTACTAAACGGGAAATGTATAGATTATATGCAATTATATGCATAGGGAACGCAATCCCGCAGCAAAATCTGAATCCCGGTATTTGCGGGATCCCGCAAATTTATAAATAAATTGGCATGAATAAGCAATTTTGTGCGGTTAACTTCTGTATTAAAATAAATCGCTAATTATCACAATAATTATTCAACAAGAAAGTACCTTCAGCCTAACTTAGAACTCAAAAAAATCACCTGTAAAGCACAAAAAGGTGAACTTCTAAAGTGCCTCAAAAATCATAGTACATTTTTAACGAAAAAAGTTTAACAATTATTTTAAAAATAATTTCTCCGTTATGCATTAGTTTCATTAACAAAGCAAACAGCGTCGTCCCCTTGGTCGACAAATTCCTCAGTCCCGCAAATCCCGCGGGATCCCGCTCCATTTATGTGCGGGATTAATCCCGCAAAAATGCTGCGGGATCCCGGTATTTCGGGATCCCGCGATCCCGGTATTGCATTCCCTATCTGCAATCCGAAGGTCCTAAGTTGGTTTAGATTTTTACTAGCGTCTGTTGATAATCTTCGCTACCATGCCATTGTTCTGAAATAGTTTATGCATTGAGTCCTTTTTTTTGTTGATCGGTGCTTCCTTATATCCTGGCAGTTGACCTGGAATTGTGGTTTGAATCAGTCTGGTATGTTTATGGCCTCGTACTAGTATACTTCATCTGTTTCTGGCGATTTAAATCGCTGATAGTCGGTAGTGACTAAATACTCCACGCCTGTAAAAAATGAATGTTGAGACGGATATCCAAGTTTTTGCTCAAGCGGGTTAGCGGGTAGGATTCCGAGCTTCGGTTATCGAAGGTTAACAAGTGGAAGTTAACTTTTGCTAGTCTACTGCAGTGAATTTACGTGTAATTGTAGCCTTATCGCTCACAAGGAATGATTTACACTGTTAAGGACACCAACACTGCAACTAAAGAGATACCCACCTATATGACAACACCACCAACAAGGACCAGTACTTCCCTAAGATACCCCTCCATAGCCAGTAAGTTAGTTTGCACAGGTATCGGGTAGCGATCGGGTACCAATCTTTCACCGATGCGCCGGGCGCCGGTTCCGTTGCCGGTTGCCGACCGATTTATATGTTGCTAGCGTTTTTTCCTATAGAACAGGTTTCCGGTTTCCCTTCCACCAAGTTATTAATCAAACGGTATCAATATTAATATTACCATCTCGTCACTATTACGAACAAAAGGTAAATATAACCTCTAAATACAAACTTCCAAACAAGCGGGCGAACAGACTGACACCGACACGTGGGAGAACTCTCATTAGGTATGATGTCCTATAAACCGGGACCGGCACTCGGTCTTGTTGTAAGCGCCCCTGGCATCAAACAGATATTGCCCGATATGCGAGCATCGCTCGACACCTGAAAAACTAGCAAACTGCCTCATACTGATGAGTGAAGAATTTGTTTACTCAACGCGTCTTACCCGATACGCGTGTTATGTGCAAACAGCAAAAGGCCTAATAGTATGTATTTGTATCGCATTAAATCGTCTAAACGGTAATTGTAAATTCGGAACCATAGATGGTCGGTCGTTATCTCGTCATTTAAGTAACATCATTTCAGAACCTTTACGTCGGAGAAAAGGTCTACGATATGTGGCGAGCAGTATAATCTTCACCGCCGCATGACGAGACATCTTAATTATAAATTAATCAAGGAAACACAGAAAATATAATTTAGACTTCTTGTTCTTAGTCTTGCGTTAGGATGCCTCACCAAACGGACAACGCACAGCTATCTGAATTTAACTCGCTAACATCTACTAAACTAAAGATACATATGTCAGAAAATAGAAAGGGTTTTGATGTAGATTATGTCCCACACACACAAACCGAATTCACGAGGTAAGATTAACTGGACCACACATTACGTAATGTATTTCATTCTTCACAAGTAAAAATAATTTAAAACTTGTCATTCACTATTAATCGAACCGCGCCCTTTGCAATTTGCACTATATAACAGTTTCTCCAGTTCCACCTCGGCAGCATTATACGACGACAGTACGATTTCTGTATCTGACAGGAAGTTGTAGCAGTCTAATCGGACGCACAATAATAGCATAGTGGACGTCAGCGTGTCACTCAGGCTGTCACTAATGGTATCCTCTACACATCTACAATAAACGAAAGGGTGGAAGCGTATCTTAATATACAATTACGATACGATTTCTATGTAAATTTAAATATACGGAAATTGAGCTTTTTTCTTTTCGTAAGTAAACAAAACAAGAATAACGATGTAATCAATCAAAGTTAAACGCGTCTATTGAAAACAGCTGATGCTCACGACTTCTAGTTATGTAATTATGTTATATGTTTTTAATCTAGTAACTTAGCCGGACTACTATTAAGTAATAAACTTGTTAAAATAAAAACAATAATTCGTGAGTTCGCTTTACTACATAATAGATTCATAACTATCTGATTTATCTCTAGCTGCGGTAGTTCTAAACAGCTCCCAGTTCATGGTTAGTGGTCAGAGACAAATGTGATCATATAAAAGTGGTATCTGATGTCATCTTCTCTTCCACTTTCCTTCGGAGACCAGTAACCAAAGCCAAATAAATAAATAAATTAAACAAATATAGCAAACGCGCTCCTGGGTATGGCTATAGCATGTGTGAAACCAAATTTTAAACCTGATGTTAGTTTTGCTTTTATTTAAATTGTATATGTATGAAATTTCATTTATAATTGCTCCCATAAATAAGAAAGTTGGCACTGCGCATGCGCAAAACGAAATTTTGAAACTGGCGTTAAATTTGGTTTTATTCCAAGTGGCTATGTATCAAATTTCATTTAAATACCTTCATAGATAAGTTTGCAATTCGGTCTGTAAATAGTCGAGATGCGTAAAGGGCACTGTGAATGCTGTTCGATTACGCTCAACTTTTGGAATTGTGGTTTATATGGCTAAAGCTATGCGCATATTGAATTTCATGCAATTCGGTTCATAATTAACGGAGATGTCAAAAGGGCTACATTGCCAATTCACGAACTCCGATCTACAAATTTGATAAAGAATCCACCTGCAAAATTTCATCGTAATCGGTCCATTCGTTTATGAGTTATCATGCTAACGGACGGACGGACGGACGGACACCGCAAAATTATAAACTCGCTAGGAGCTCGTTAATAAATAAATAAAAAATAAAGGTCGTGGAAATTCTATAGGGGTAAAAATTAGAAGATTGATTTTTAGATGATGATGTTATTAGTGGAATAGTATCCGTAAACTGTGATGGAAATAAAACTCATCTTGTGTGCGTCGTTTAATTTCAAGAGTACATGGTTTCCTTAACAGTTTCGGAAACCTACGCGACGAGATGTCTGGAATGGGGGTCATATTCAATAATTTGATTTGGGACTCGGCGTGATGTCATGTAGCAGCGTGGAAACTGCAAATTTGGCAATATGTGGGAATGATTTATCACCCTACCTTTTATTTGATTCGTAGGGCGGGATTTAAACGACAAATTAACGATTGACTATGACCGTCTACTTTAAGAACAAGCCATTTTGTGAGTAGTCATTAATTAAATAACAAACCATCGCACACAAGAGAACATTGCCCGTTGTATTGTATTGCATTGTATATAATATAATTATAAAACGTGAGACGGGTATCTAAAATTACAATTGACCAGTTTTGTAACCGTTTCTGTGGGGATAAAATAGTTATTTATATAACAAGAGCGCGAAGTTCAATTTCGCGCATTGAGACTGAAGGTATTTTGACGAGGCGAAGCCGAGTTAAAATATCAGTCAAATGCGCGAAATAACTTCGCGCTAGCGTTATATACAATATTTTTTCTACAACTGAACCGATTGTTAATTAAATTTGCTGTTTAAGTTCAACTTTGTCACGTGCGCGAAATACTTTTTTTCACTGTTGACGATTTCGCGCACGTTGTCAAGGGCAACCTTACTTATTAATTAACCGTTTAAAAATCTAGTACTTCGCGCTTCGAAATTCGTCAGAAAATGACAGGTTTTTTTGACAGTTGTAGAAAAAAATTATTTTTGCAGGTCTCGTCATTTGGAAGATCAGTGAAAATTAATATTTTATGATTTCGATTCCATTTATTATTTAGTCGCCGATGTTATGTCCGCAATGTTAGTGAAAAACGGGCAAGGGCTACGCAGGAGTGTGCTTGGTGTTTTGAAGCGCACTTACTTATTTTGATGTATGAGCGGGGTCCCAGATTTTAATCACGTCGGAGAGCCGAGAAATCATTAAAGACCGGTATGAAGGAGGTATTTTTTGCATTTGTTCCATTATACTTTCCGACTTCCCATACAACGCGAAGCGGAGGCCCTTTAAACGTTGCGAGTGCTTTAAAGACACGTGTTTCTTATAGTATTTTTTATTATACCTGCAATATAATTTAAAAATAAGGGAAATGCAATGAAAATCATATTCGCGTTATTGTCTAATACATGTCTAAAGTTCGATTCGCATTTTACGGAACGTCAACGTCACGTCACGGACCGGCAACGTCAAGTAAATCTTGCTGCCAATTCACACTTTACGTCAATAGTTTCTTAGGATGGTTGCGATTGGATTTTTTATTCTGGACTCTCGTTCTTATCATTGTCAGATTAAAAAGTATATTATCATTACCGTTACGTTAAAGAAATGTTTGAAACTTATCTCGACGGTTCGGACGTTACGTCTATATGTGAATGTTATCATAAGAAGTCTATAAGACAATATTTTGACGTGACGTCGGTCCGTGACGTGACGTTAACGTTCCGTAAAATGCGAATCGACCTTAATTCAGTGCGCTGTGTGTTCGTACCTCCATTATTGCGATGGAAATGTCAGTTGTTTGCTTAAAATCACCGTCTTTGTCAATAAAACGATTTCAGTTGAAAAAGATATTCGGCACCGTCCATTAAATGGCTAGTTTTTCTAATGAAAAGTTGGTAGGTGTAAAATCGAAATCCAGTAAAGATTATTATAAAGAATATAAAAAGTGGTTTTCGTGGATAAATAGGAAGCTACTTACTTACGAACACAGTCCTAAATGCATCGATAATACTGCCACATATGAAGGAAATGTCAAAGGTATTATTTCTTCTATCCTTTGGTGCATTCATTCAAAACTTCAAACAATGCTGCGATTAAAAAATGGAACAGATTTGGCAACATACCCTAAATTACGCGCGATTGTAAAAGATTCAAACAAAAGATAGGTACAAGCCAAATAAATGTTCTGCATGTACAAAAAGCGACCTAAGAGATTTTTTATTTCAGCCTAAGATGACAGTTTCAAAAGTCATACCTACTTGAAGTATCTTTACTTGCAACTTTAAAGCGCGTGTGTTTTAAAGGCCTAATTTCGCACGGATTTGAGTGTTCAAAACGGAGATTGTGATTCAGGTATAATAAAAAATAAATTATGTTCGTGTGAATTCATGTAAGTCGTATGATTATTCGAACCCTTAAACGATCTAGATAAATTTATCACGTTCAATGATGATTAATTTTTTGATCAGTACCCAAAGTTAGTAAATAATCTTTTTGGATTTGATCGCGGCCATTATTAACGAACTCCTAGCGAGTTTATAATTTTGCGGTGTCTGTCCGTCTGTCTGTCCGTCTATCTGTCCGTCCGTCCGATATCACGATAGCTCATAAAAGAATAGACCGATTACGATGAAATTTTGCAGGTGGATTTTTAAAAAAATTTGTAGATCGGAGTTCGTGAATTGACAATGTAGGCCAAAAAATAAAGAAGGCCCTTTTGAAATCTCCGTTAGTTATGAACCGAATTGCATGAAATTCAATCTGTGCATAGCTTTAGCCATATAAAACGCAATTCCAAAAGTTGAGCCTAATCGATCATCATTCACAGTGCCCTCTTCGCATCTCGACCATTTATAAGTCGAATTGCAAACTTTCTTATTTATGAAGGTATTTAAATGAAATTTGATACATAGTCACTTGGAATAGAAGCAAATCTAACGCCAGTTTGAAAATTTGATTTTGCCCATGCCTAGTGGCAACCTTCTTATTTATGGAGGGATTTCAAAAATGGGGGCATAAATGAAATTAGATACATATAGCCACTTGCAATAAAAACAAATGTAGCGCCAGTTTCCAAATTTGGTTTTGTGCATGATGTGCAGTGCCAACTTTCTTATTTATGGAAGCAATTAAATGAAATTTCACACATATACCTTTTAATTAAAAGCCAAACTAACACGAGGTTCTAAATTTGGTTTTGCACAGCTATAGCCATTCCCAGGAGCTCGTTTTCTATATTTGTTTACACGATTATTTGTCTTAGAATTTGGAATTTGAAGTCGAGATTGAAATGTTTCCTTGTGCCGGTGTTCGGATGTGTCCTGAAAGAATTTTAATAAGAAAGTTAGCTACGTCTAAGGTGTTTTGTGTGTGTTTGGTCGGGCCATTGCACACAAAAATATTTATTCCATAAATGATTATTAAATCAATTGAAAGAACAAGTTTTGGTTGTATC